ATCAAGCTTTATTAAAAGAAAAGAATCTGCTGGGCTGTGCTCAAAATGGAAGACAACACCAGGTGTGGGGGTGGGAGAGGTTATATAGACTGTAAGGAAGGCTGACATAATCAGGGAGGGGTTTAGTGCTGGTGGAGTTTCTATTTCTCAGAAACCATGAGGTTTCTCGTAAGGGAAAGGCTGGCGGCCATTTTCTAAGGAGTGTATGTAAAATGGTGCTGGGCATGTCCAGAACCTATCATTTGGGTGGGGGGAAGTAACGACTATGTTTTATTGATTTTTTAAAAGCACAAGTTTGATAGATATTTATTGAACAAATAAATAAGAGAATGAATAAATGAGTAAATTAATAAAAACTAATTTATTCTCCATGATTTTTAGAAAAAAGCCTAAGAAAAAGTCTAATATTTATATGTCAAACACAAAGTACTTTATATCCATTGTCTTATTCAATCCTCATAATAATCTAATGAGGTGTTGCTATTATCATCCCGATTTTAAAGAGTGAGTGAGTGATCCTCAGAGAAATTAACTGACTTTTCTGAGGTTACCAGGCTGGTAAAGTCAACTCCACGTTCACCTAACTCCAGAGTGCATGTTCTCTCTACTAGTTTTTCCATCATTTATTTCTCCTGAGTAATCCTAAAAAGTCTTTAGACTCAGTGTAATGTCTACAGCTTTTACATTTCTTAGTGGCCCCTCATTTCACAGGTAAAGTAAGCTGCAGACTTGGTAACAGACCTATTGACATCAAAACACATATCATTTACTCTTATATATGAGCTGCCTAAAGAAATCCAAATAGATATTTTCATATCATCTAATTCTATTAAATTGCTTGCAAGAAAGCTAGAGGATGACAGTTTTGGAGATTTTATATTTCCGCCCCAAGTAAAAGGCTTAGGACAAGAGAACTGCTACAATATGGAAAGGTCTTAGGTGTATACTTTAGATAGCAATTTATAATAAAATTCAGAAATGCTTTTGAGAAAATATAGAAAAATAGTTATCTTAAAGACTACTTCTGTCAGATACAACTCTTTGAACATCTGCTGTTAGTATTTGGAGTTTTAGAAATATTATTGATGCCCCAGCTCTCCTATCAATAAATATATACAAGGAAATTTAAGGGAATGGCTGCTAGATGAGCTTGTAGTTAACCTGAACATAGTTCTTGGAAGTTACTTCAGATGACTAAGTTAATTCTGCCTTGCTCAGCACAATTTGGAAATGGACTCTTATTCTTCCCAAGTGGAGTGGTGCCCCCACTGCCCGTGAGCCTTGCTTGTCACAAATAGCTGCCAAAACAAGACAGTTGGCTGCTTTCATCAAACTGTTTAATCTCTACTGGCCTAGGGATGAGTCCTTGCAGCTTGAATTCAAAGGTGCTGAGAAGTGCCAGCAGCTTGCTTGTCAATCCACAATGAACTCACTTTTCTGGCTTCATGCTTTTTCATCCTTTGCTAAAATGCAAATGACCCTAGAAGAGGTCACCTTAAAATGTATCAGTCAATGATCCCTTACAGCTAGGGTTACAAAGTGATTTTTGTCCTTTGTGCCCACTCTAAGAGCAGTGGTGGCCGTCAAGAGTGCTCCATTGGGAAGAGTGGTGGCACTATACCTTGGCTCAGCAGGAGAGAAGAATGTGATGGATTAGAGATGTCTGCGTGGGCACTTGGTGGCCCATATGCCAGGCATTTGTGGGTCCTGATTTAGTGTGGGTGAGGGAGGTGATCACACCTTTCCTGATATCAGAGTTTAGGGGGAAAAAATGAGAAATAAGTGTATTTCTTAGGGAAAAGGTGGATCAAAGGAAAGGGAGCTGAGGACTCTAAAAATAAGCTTCCCACTTGCTGGCTTTGCAGAGGGCAATCCTGCCCCTCAGCTACTCCTCTTTGTATTCTTTACACCTGGCCATGAAGCTTTGCAAAGCCACAGCTACCCTCAAGGTACCACTGTATTTAGTGGTTAAGAGATTAACATTTGGACTTTAATCTCTTTTCAACCACCAAAGTGCTCAGATCTCACACATTCATAGTTGTAATTTTAGTGTCTGTCAACTGACAGGTTGCACCATATGAAAAGATTCATAGTAAATGAGATCCTGATCACCGTGACCCCAATGCACCCCACGGCCCACAAAGATCCATTGCCTTCATATTAGGAGCCCCCTCTTCTTTCCAGAGGTGAATTCAATGTTATATGGAAACTGGTATAACATACATGTGTGTATTTTGAACAGAATTTTCCAGTCCCAGCTCACAGAGGCTGAGTAAGTTCACATGTCTCCCAGGCATGTCTTTTTATAAGGATTCAGCCTCTCTAGCCTTCCTAGCCCCTATTCTAAACCTCTCTACTCCCCAGGACTCAATGTCTCATTTCTCTTTACCTAGTAGCCTTTAGCAAATGCAAATTAAGGACAGATTACCAAAAACTCTGGTAGCACCTACATTTCTTTCCCCTCTCTTCTTCCTGGCATTCCCCATCCCCCCAAGTAAAACAGGAAAGGTGGGAGGGGCAAGACCCCTATTGTCACTTAGGATGAACTTCCTTGTACACTTTTTTGCCATTAGGACAACCCACACCATCACCACCATCACCACCACCACCACCACTCCTAGGTTGTCCCAACCTCCTATTTGTGTGTTTTCTTACCTTTAAATGCCATGAATGAGCATGCTCAGGACTGTTTCAAGCTGCATTCATTCTCCATGCTAAAGCCTGGGCCAGCAGTATAATTAGAGCTACAGCAATATACTTACAGATTAATATAGATAAAGTTAGGTTGGATCTTATGCAATACCCTTGTAGGAACTAGAGAAGACCTGGAAAGCAGGAAGTCAAAGGTTGAGGCTCTCTCTACAGAGGATTCTAAATCATGGCTTGCCTGTCCTCAGCTTCTCTGTTTGGAAGTTGTTTGCCTGCAGCTCAGCAAATTCTCAGTGAGCACAGCATGCCAGGTTCCGGGACAGGGGGCACCTGGAAGATCTGTGATTCCTCTTAGTGGTTTTTAAAAATCACTTTTAATTTACTTCTTTAGCTTCTGTGATTTGCTTTAAGCATCAAACCCCAAAATCAATTTTTCTCCTTAAATTAGAACTTGAGGATTTTAAACTAGGAGATTCCCCCTATAATCATTTTAATTTTCTCATTTTATTATTGTGGTAAAATTCGCATAACATAAAATTCACCATTTTGGCCATTAAGTGAAAGAATCCAGACACAAAAAGCCAGATATGGCATAATTTCATTCATTTGAGATATCCACAGTCGGCAAAGCCACAGAGGGAGAAAGTTGATTAGCAGTTGCCAGAGGCTGGAGCAGGGGAATGAGGAGAGACTGCTTGGTGGGCACAAAGTGGCCTTCTGGGGTGATAAGAATGTTCTGGAGCTAGGTAGTGGTAACGGTACACAGCACTGTGACTGTACTAAATGCCACTGAATTGTACCCATTAAAATGTTTGTTTTTGGGCCTAGCCCGTGGCGCACTCGGGAGAGTGCGGCGCTGGGAGTGCAGTAGCGCTCCCGCCACAGGTTCGGATCCTATATAGGGATGACCGGTGCGCTCACAGCATCTCACTGGCTGAGCGCAGTGCGGCCGGTCTCAAAAAGGACAAAAAAAAAAAGTTTGTTTTTAATTTAATTTCACTAACGTGGCGCACTCGGGAGAGTGCGGCGCTGGGAGTGCAGTAGCGCTCCCGCCACAGGTTCGGATCCTATATAGGGATGACCAGTGCGCTCACAGCATCTCACTGGCTGAGCACAGTGCGGCCGGTCTCAAAAAGGACAAAAAAAAAAAGTTTGTTTTTAATTTAATTTCACTAAGAATATAAAAATTAATTTATGTGTAAAAACAAAAAAGTTTATTTGTACCAAGTGCCAAGTGAATGGCATATATATGGGGAAAGTGTGGTGCAGAGATTAAAAACGCGGGTTTGTGCGTTAGGTTTCCTTAGAATCCAGACTCTGCTGCTCGCTCACTCAGTGACCTGAGGAAAGGTAAATAATCCCTCCAGTCCTTCTCTGTAAAGTAGCAATAATCCCAATGCCTCCCTCTCAGGGTTGTTCTGGGACATATTGAGAGACTATATAAAATGCTCAGCACAGAGCTTGGCAATTAATGTGCTACTATAAAATAAGTAGCCTAGGAATTTGGAGACAGGGAGTGAGATGGCTCCCTGCTGGAGGGACAGCCTGAGAGAGAGCTGGGCTCAGAAGGCATGACAAAGTGAAGACACTGAGCTGGGAAGGGGAAGGGGATGAGGGAAGGGAGTGCGTGGCAGAATCAAGCTGCAAACATTTGAAAATATAAATTGAGATTCACCTGTGTTGGGAAACAACAGGTGTAATGCAGGGTGTCTTGCCCCACATCTGGGGCATCGCTGTGTAATTTGGGAATGTTTCTCAACTTTAGCTTCTCTCTTTGTGAGAAGGAAAAGCATCTCTCCCTGAACTGGCAAAGTTGTCAACCTCAGCTAAAGCAGAGACCAAGTGAGAATGGCTTTGCACGAAGTGGAATCGGTGACATTTTCCTGACACACTCTGGCATCTCGGCAGTTAAATGTCAGGTTTCAGACCTGAGCAGAAGCATGTTTACTTAAAAAGACCAGGGTAAGGCATGGGAGCCTGGCAGCTCCAGCTGCTTACGGTGTTAGACATCTGTGATGTGGAGGTCAGAGTAATTTAGGGATTACTTAGCAGCAGATGTCCAATGTCCATGTTGCTGTGTAGAAACAAGTAAAAGAAAGGAAAATAGCTATTCTACCAAGTTCCTTGATTCCATTAAACCATTTTTAAGATTTTGAAAAAATGATGGCTTCTCCTTAAAAGAGGGTTAAAGTAAACAATATTCAAAAAAAAAAAAAAAAAAGGAACCCACACATCTAGATAAATAAATCTTTTTGCATTTTACCTATTGAATTTCTATACCTCAAAATCATCTTTGGCTGATGAAACAGAGCTTGGTGAACTTTATCTGAGGAATTCTTTTCCCTTTGCAGCAAGAAGCCAAAACCACATCAAAGCACACCTCCCCAACAGAAGCCTCTGACCTTAGCCTACGATGGAGACTTAGACATGTAACCTGAAAAAGAAATCCAAATGTAGACATCAACTGCCTTAACTGCTTTCTCTTTTGTAGCTCTCAGACTTCTCAGTTTTTTGAGGAATCTCACGATGTGATGTATTGGGCAGAATACAAAAATTGCAAAAGTAATATTGCCTCAACTTCATTTGGACATGGAGTAAAGGATTAGGTCTGCCATTTTGTTTTCAAGTTGTTTGTAGGTGTGAGTGTTTTGCTTTTTGGTTTTCCCAAGGAACCTGAAAACCCTTCTCTTCTTGTTTGGAAATGGGAGGAAGAAAACATGATGGAATTCCCACAGACTTGCATAAACTTGATCTTCAGCAGCATAATGACAATCCAGAGGAAAGTCCAATCAAGGCATTTACTGTCAATGACGAGTCTGACACTGCATTGTTATGCACTATATTAGTGCAAAGTCTTTATTCTTCCCATACTTCAACACTGAGTTTTCTAGAATTTACATTAGTTCAAAGACTTTCAAATTGGATTGCCTATTTTCATGAACACAGAGAGAGCGGGTTACCATTTCAGAAATTCTCTGAGTTTTTACCTTGAAATATTGTATTTTGTTTAGTTGTCAGGGGATGATGGCACTTCATGGGTTGCATCTATTGCAATTAACAGTGTGTGTGTAATTGCTGGACTAGATGAAAGCAAGGTGGTTTCTGAATGGAAACGTGTACTGGATGTTAGAGTGTACAAATGAGATAGGTATTTATGTTGGAGAATGAGGTAGATTATTTGATTACTCAAACTGTATTTTAACAAAAACTTACCCATGTAGATATAGCATTAACCACACACAGTTGTAATTCAGTTTAATGATGACAAACTCGGCTTTTGTAATTTCAATTTTCTTATCTGAGTATTTATAAATTCTTTTTGTGAATTTAATTATCTGACCTCATTTAATATACATCAAACACCATTGACAAACTCAGCTTTTGTAATTTCAATTTTCTTATCCGAATATTTATAAATTCTTTTTGTGAATTTAATTATCTGACCTCATTTAATATACATCAAACACCAATCCTCTTTGTAGCAAGTCTTGCTTTTATAAGGTTTCAATAATATCTAAAACTACACATTCGAAAGCTGAGACCATTTTATGGAGATAATTGTTTGTAACTGTAGGTGTTCAGAGTGAGAAGGTGCCATCTTGTGGTATTGACTTGTATTTATAACAAATAAAGTGCTCACGAGACTGCAGTTTTGGTTGTTCTAGATTTATTTATTTCTGAAGTGTCCTTGCTTTGGGGGGAAAAAAAGAACAGTTTTAAATACCAGTTTTCCAGTGTTCCTGTTTTAGGAGTCGACAGCTG